TCCTATAGAATCTGTTTCTCATTACTGTAATGAAATACATGAGGCCAGCTACTTTGCAGAGAAAAGAGATTTAGCTGGCTCATAACATTGGGAGCTGGAGGTCCAGGACTGAATGAACACCACCATGTGTGCAGTCTCCGGTGAGGACCCCATGGCAGATGTTATCACCATGGGAGTGCATGTGAACTGAGAGATGTAATCTCCAGACAGGAAACCAAAGAGAGGGGAGCGATCAGGTTTATTCCTTTATAACTCAAGGTTCGGTGAGAATGATTTTAACCTCTTGTGAGGGCATTGGCACCAATGACCAGATGACTTCCCACAAGGCCTCACTTCTTAAGGATTCACAATAGCTCCTGATACCACCATGTTAGGGACCAGGTTTCCAACACATACGCCCTTGGTTGATGAACCCCTCCTCTCCTATGCCCAGGCATGTCTTCTCAGGGATACGACACAGTGTGGTGAAGGGTAGCTGTGCTCTGGTGCTTGCTGGTCAGCATCTTCACTCATCTTCTGTGACCTTGGGTTAACTCTCTTCATTTCCCTGAGCTTCTTTATGTGAAAAAAAGGAATTCTGAAAGTTTCTGTTTCAAAAGACTTTTCAAGTGTTCCTAATAAGCTAATACAGATCAGATCTTTAGCATGGTGCCTGGCTCAGTAGATGCTAACACAGGATGTCACGGTGACGTATCATCATGTTATTCTTCTAGATGGAGCTCTTGACCATTGTTCTCCCTTTCCTAACGTCATTGACCATGATGGGCTCTCAGAACCCTCCACAACTAAGTTTCTATTTCAGCTTCTCTTTATCTAAGCACACTGTAACCACGAAAGTGGTCTTATTCCTCTCCTAATTTCCCAGTGGGTTATAAGGAAAAGAGGAGGTGTTCTGAAGTGAAGTGGCAGAGTCGCAGTTTTGCCCTTCCCTTACTGTGTGAGCTTAGCCAGGTTCCTGGAGCTCTCTGGAATCCAGTTTCCTCCATTGGAACATAAGGATAAAGTTGGAAAACACCATCTTAACACCTCACAGATATTCGTTCCTCTTCTCTATGTCATGAGTGAAGTCCCCATTCCCACTGTCCCCCCAGCAGTCCTCCCAGCAGTCTTCACCAGGGTGCTACCCGAAGTCTCTCCAACCTTCTGCATGTGGGACACTCCCCTTGCTTCTCCACCTTGGTTTGGTTTCTTGGAGATGCCTGTAGTGTTTGATGTCAGAAATAATGCAGAGATCTTTGTTTATATACTTTCTTACCACTCTGATAGTTCTTTTCAAAGCAGGATTTTTAAAGGATTAATTTGCACAGCCCTGCAAGTCAGTGTGACTTCGTCATTATTACCCCCACTTTTCTAAGGAGACTGAGCCTCTGAGATTCACGGACACAGCTGGCGGTCTGGAGCACCAGTCCTCTGGCTTCTGCCCACCATGCCTTACTCTGCACCATTTGTGTCAGGGTGATTGCCACTCACCTAACCCTGATGCCACTTTCTAATATTGCATCATTTTTTTATGGGTGCCTGCTGTATTCCCCTTCCCACTCAGGAAAATGTGCCTAGTCCCTTCCACTTTGCAAATACCTGTGATTTGATTTGTGTCTTTAAATGTGTTTAAATTTGAATTCATATCATACATATGCTGCAAGTCCATTATAGGAAACTAGTAATCATACTGGCTGGACTGTTGAACTGGTCCAGTGAAATTTCATGCAAGAGTAAGACCCTGCTCTCAGAATACCTATATTCATTGCCTTGGTTGAATCTTTGGATCCGGGGAGTTCAGAGACAGCTCCTGTATCACCTGTGCTGGTACTAATTCTGTAATGATCCTGACCATGCTGAATTGTAATTAATCTGCTTACCCATCTGTCTCTTTCACTCCCAGACTGCAGGTCCCTTCAGAGAAAGTGTCAAATCCCATTCTGGTCAGTGTCCAGGGCCTGCTGCCATGCTTGGCATATAGTTAATGGAAGCTGAATGAATGAACAAGAACTATCCATTTGGGCCCATCCCATAATCCCATATGATTGTGCTTATTCCTGTTCTTTTTATATGGTGTAATACTTGTATCTTGCATCTTATACTTCGTTAAGGGTCGGTTTCATGTTTTACTCATTTTTATGTGCTCCATAATAACCATGAAAGAAGGAAGTCATAATTATTGTCTATTGTATACCAGCAGTGATTTCACATACATTATCTCTTTTTGAAAATAATCTAATTTAATTCTCAGAAGAGATCGATAAGGTAGGCATTATCATTCCTGAATTACAAAATGGGATGCTAAGACTCGGAGAAATAAAATAATTGAATCTGACCAAGTTTGCATAGCCAGTAAGTGGCAAGGCTAGGATTTTGATTTTTTGTCTGCTGGCTGCAAGATCAATGTCTTTCCTTTTGTTGTTGTGTTTTGTTTTTTAACAGAATGAGAGATAGCCGAGTGCTTTAGCCTAGTACGTGTGGGAACATTGCTGAGCTAAGACTTGGATTTAATCATATTGAGTCAAATCTGTACAACTTTCTTTTCAAATATTTATGTTTAAAAAAGATTTATTTATTTGAAAGGCAGAGTTACAGAGAGAGACACAGAGAGCTCTTCCATTCATAGGCTTATTCCCCAGATGGCCTCGTTGGTCAGAACTGGCTCCTGCCCAACGCCTGAATTTGCTTCTAGGTCTCCCACATGGGTGGCTGGGGCCAAAACACTTGGGGCCATTTTCCTCTACTTCCCAGGCACATTAGCAGGCAGTTAGATTGGAAGTAGAGCACCTGTGACTCAAACCTGTACCCTTGTCCTCAAATACTTTAAACAACACCTTGACCCATCTCATTTGATTATTTGGATGAAATGCTTCTGGAAACATGTAGTAAGCATCTGCCATGTGTCATGTACCGTGCTGAAGACCGCATCCCTTGGGGAGCTTACAGCCCAGTGGGCCACACTGTAATGATAAATATGCTATGTGCCATGGGAAGGCAAGAGAAGAGCTTAGGTTGGCATGGGTAGACCTTGGGAGGCTCCTGAATAAATTGTGAAAGAGCAATGGGAGTTGGAAACCCCAAGAAAGCAGAGAGCCCAGAGAGAGCTGCAAATGCTAAACCACAGAGGGGCAGATTTGCATGTAGGACAAACCTGGACCAATTTCAGTGGAATGGTTCTGGGGGAGCTGTGGGATGGGTGGCAGCAAGAGATGCTGAAGTGGGTCTTCCTTGTGCACATCAAGGCCCAGAGAGCGTAACTGGCTATCAGCTGTGAAATCACACTCTTGGCTTAGTCGACAGTGAGGACATTCTCCCTGCCTAAGAAATGGACTACAGAGATAGCTAGCAGCCTCTCCATCTGTCTTCCTGAGGAATATGGGACAGACACAGAGTTTGCACTTCCTTGATGTGTAGGAAATAAGGATCAAGCGATTAAGCTGACCTATATGGGTTATGTCTTCTACCTAAGGGTATGGCCTGGCTTTGATTTGTGCTCCTGGAGCAGGGGGCTCTGGAGTAGCCATGGCAGGTGTTACTTATTTAGAATTCCCTCTTCCTAGGAGGTAGACTGGAGTGACAGGGTTTTGTGTACTCTGGGTCACAGGGTGAGTGATAGATTGAAAGATGTCAGTTGTTTCACCCAATTCAACTTTTCTTTTATGTGCAAAAAAAAATTCCTTTAACTTATAGAACTTGATAGGATGGCTGAGAATTGAGCCAACCTATGGATTAGATACAATCTGTGAATTATAAATATGCCATTACATGGCACATAACAATGGAGATACATTCAAATAAGTGGTCATTAGGCAATTTTGTCATTGAGCAAGTACCTCAGAGTATACTTAAACTAAGATGGCTATGAGTTCACTAGCTGGTATAAGCTTACAGGACTATTCTCATATATGCAATGTACCTTTTACCAAAATATTATATAGCACATAACCATGCATATATTTGTAATCATCATATACAAAGATAAATCTTGAATGATCCTGATGTTAATTATCAGCTTCCTTTTTGTCCCTTCTTTGAGGACTTTGGTAAAATCATCAAATGTCTTTCTGTCTTGGTCTCTCCCAGGTCTGTTTCCCCAAGATCTGAAGCTGTGCATTCATTCACTCCTGCATCCCACTGCAGTCAGCGTCCCACAGATCTTCACCAAGCCCCTGTGGACAGGCCACTCCCACATATCCAAACTAGCTAGCCTATCCTGTAACCACGGGGAGCCTGCCTGTTCCTCACGCTGGAAGGGATTGAACAGTCAGCTGCAGGCAGCTGTGTTGATGCCTCCGAATTGCCCTGAGCTGCGGTACACATCCTTTGTCTTTGACTCTTTGCACGCCTCCCCAAGCTTAGCACTCTAGTTTAATCCCATCAGTGCATTCTTCACATCCAGCTGTCTGGATGAGCTATCGAAAATGCAAATGTGATCATGACATTTCACTGTTTGGAACTCTTCAGTGGTTTTCAGATCCTTTCAGGTGACATCCCAAACTTCTGAAGCATCTGGGCCGCTCATGAGGCTGGCTTCTTCCTACCTCTCTGGCATGAGTTGCTTACTCATTGTGACACAGCAATGCTGAATTACTTCTGACTCTCCGAGCACACAATGTTATTTAATGTATCTAAGTCTGCCAGAAATAGCTGTCCTCTCTATCTTGCCTTACAAATCTAATCACCTCTTATAATTCTCTCAACTGTTCCCTTCCCAGAGAGAAGGCCTCCCTGGACTGCCTGCATTATTCAGGCATCTGTGATTGACCTGTCTGCCTGTTCCCCAACCCTGCCCATCTGCAGGGACTCTGTCTTACTGAATAGCACTGGGCCAATCACAGGGTCAATGCTTAATCAGCACTGGCTGAATCATTCAGTTATATCTCCGCCCCATCTAAGGGACTCATGTGTCAATCACACTAATAACCACATCTTCATTGGTTTTCCCAGATCAGACCAATCATTGGTCAGCAATCATTGGTGGATCCCACTCCTGATAACCGCATCTTCATTGGTCTTCCCAGGTCGGGCCAATCACTGGTCAGCAATCATTGGTGGATCGCACTCCAAGAATTATGTGTTGTGGGAGTACGGAGGATACGCCAGTGAAGGTGTCAAACAAGTGGCAGAATTGGGCTCACCAGTGAAAATGGAGGAAGAAATTCGACAACAGGTAGGAAAAAAAAAATTACACAAGGACCAAAAACCAGAAATGCAAAAACCAGTCATTCCGTATCTGCTTTCCAAGCAGTTTGAGATTTGCATGCAGTAAAATGTACTGGAAGAAAATATAAAATATGTTTGCTGAGTTTCGGGGATAGGAGGAGAGAGCCACAAATGTCCTTGCTGTCGTCTTGGGTTCTCCTCGGCCGTTTGTTTTCAGCTCGTGCTGAATGCTGCTGCAGTGGCCATGTTGGTGGGAGGTTCTGTGTCTGATTCCCTGAGAATCAAAGTGATGATTAATGCTTTCTTTCTATGATCTTTGAGAACACTGGCAGGGTTGGGTGATATTCAAACTTTCACAGCCAAATTGCCATTTCTGAACATAAATGCTAGTGTATTCACACATGCCTTCTGCCACTGCGTCTTGAGATGTTTGATAAATTGGTTGGTCCGTAGTCGGAATCATCATGTCCTGAGGTGTCCTCTGGGTTCCATGTCTTGTAAGCCCACTGTCTTTTCTTCGTCCAGGCCTGAATTATCTCAGACTGCTGAGAGAGACAGGATGAATAGCCCACCATTCCTGTCCAATGTATTTGGCCAACAGTGCCATTGACCTTCATCAAAATCCCAATCTAGTTAATGCCAGACAGAGGATCTTAGAAGAAGAGTGGTATATTTCTCAAGAGTGATGGTTAATGGAGAGATGATGGTACAGCTTTAGCTGCCACTAACCACAGGAACCATGTGATTTGAGCGAGTTCCACGGACAGCCACATTGCACTGCCTACCAGGTGTTCTGTGGTCATTTCACCACACAGGTCACGGGCAGACCACTGGCTTCCTTGTGGGCAGACACTCGGAGGCTTGAGCAGTGCAGGAGGCGGAGAAGCCTGGGGCTTCCCCTTGAAGCCTACCATCTGGACTCCATGCTGCTGCCCATGAACTTGGAATTCAATGCAGCAAAGGTCACTCTAACCCAAACATAATCCCCTGAGGAAACTTTTCAGACCCAAGTTGGGAAATGCCCAAGAATGAGCTTGTGTTTGTTATTAATTTGATTTAAAGTCTCCTCTCTCTTCTCTCCTTGGGGGGAAAAATTAAAAAATGTTTGACCAGATGTTTTAAGAGTGCATGTGATTCATCACTTGGTTAGCTGTCTAGCTACTCCATGTTTGTCTAACTCCAGCCGCCATGCCTTTCAGACTGCAGCAAAGTCACGAAGGACTCGATGTGTCTGGCCTGCCATAGGGCTAAATTGTCTGGGAGCCTGGGTGCCCATATTCTTGGTTCTCAAGCATGCAATTATTTCCCAAAGGCTTTCCAGTTTTGGTGGTAGGAGGTGTTGAAAACAATTTGTTGTAAACAATAGCTGAAATATTAGTTTGCAAATAAATTAGATCAAGATCAAGGGCAACTTTATAATAATGCTGGTCTCACTTGCTAACTTTCTGGAGGATTTTCTGGAAAGCAGGGAAGCATACAGGAATCAGACAAAGCTAGGAGTGTACTGTACAAGGGGACATGTTCTGTCATGTGTCATAGCAGTGTAAAGGTTGAAACTTGCGCATGGGAACTCCTGCATAAGTGTCTCTCACCTAGGAATATGTTCTTTGCTTGGTGTGTTCCTAGCCAGGCTGTGTGGACTTGGCTTTCATACTACGTGGGCTAACATTCCTGATATAAAATCACAATTATGCGTTTCAATGTGCAGTGTGCATGGCAATGGACATATTTCAGTGTCCGTCACCAGCTGCCAGGTCCTCTAGGTGCAAGACATTTACTTTGCCCATCTGTATATCTAACCTGAGGGAACAATATTATTATCTGTTTTACAGATAACAAATCCAATACACAGTCAAGTCTCCCTGGCTCCAAACCCTGTATAGGGTACCAGGGATATGATTTGGAGCTTTGTGTAAATCGGGGTGGAGGGGAGGCTTGTAAACTCTCAAGAATTTCAAGATGGCAATGCTGGGAGTTGCACAGGAATGCACAGGTGGTATGCCCATGAAGTTGACCCTGCGTTGGCACCTTCTCTGTCCCCGGAGAGTCCCCTCCAGCCAGATATTCCTCTTGCCAGCCTGTGAAAGGTTCCTGTGTTGGCAGTGTATCAAGTTCTCCTTGTAAAGTCCATCACATAGAGCGACTCCAGAGTCCTTCACTTCTAATTCATGTGCCTAGATATTGTTCCCTACAAGCACACAACTTGCAATATTTTTCTGTAAGTAAGCTTTAAAAAAAAAGCCCAACATAAAAAGGAACAAGAAATGAATCCTCCTAACATATAAAAATGTCCTCTAAATAACCAGGGGGACTTGTTGGAAAACATCCACAAACTAACACAATGTTCCCAGCCTTTAATACCTTATATCCTACCAATCGCTTTATCAAAGAACCCAAGTTCAACCATGAGGAAAATAAAAAGCCCACTTTTCCCAAGAAAGCCATTTGTATGCTTACCAGCATTCTCCTGTTACAGACTTACCACTCACTGAAAGTTTCAAGGGCATTAAAAATCACAATAGGTATTGTTGGAGGTAAATTTTATGCTAATGACTTTCGAACTCAAATGAACAAAAATACTAATCCCATTAGTAGTGGAAAATTATAATAATACAGTTGAGTAGAAATTTTAATGTTATAACTGCCAAACACCAAGAAAATTAATAAAAAAATATATACTGCATTGTTGGCAGTAATGATACAAGCAGCCACAGAGCCTGGAGGGCGGGAGGTTTACCGTTTACTACTGGGAGACAGGAGCAGCGGCACATATGAGGGGCTTCAACAAGTTCATGGACAATGTATACTGCCTTTAAATCCATGAGTTCATTGAAGCTCCCTTGTACTTCCTGGTGGCCGCTGAAGACTGGGAATTAGAAATATTGAGCAGTGGCTGTCCCAGCAGATCACAGAGGGAACCCCAAAGCAGTGTGAGGCAGTAGGAAATGGTGGGTCACATTAGTAGGTTGAGGTGGGAAGGGAAAGTCAGCTGATGCGTCCTTGTTTTTGAGAACAGCCCACTGAGGCCATTTCTGCTCCAGCAGGCACGTGGATGGCATGTTTCCAAGGTGACTGATTCTCTGCTGGATACCAGCCCAAAGGGATATCCTGTTCACTACTTATTCTGTGGAAAACCCAGGCTCCATGCTTGATTGTCCCATACCCCCAGGTTTCCTTCTCTTGGATCCATCCTTATCGGCACCTACTTCCTCATCCTCTCTTGCCTAAATTGCTGCATTAGCCTTCTGATATCTCTGCCTCTGATATTCCTATCGTCCATCTTGCACTAGGGTGCTCCTCATAAATCATAAATCATATCTTGCCACTCCCCCAGGTAAGATGCTTCATGATTCTTTCTTGACCCAAGCATCTAAATTCCTTATCATAACTTGAAAAGGGTTTATAACTAGTCCAAGCATACTGTTCCAATCTTTTTTCTTGCAGTAACTCTAGCTTTACCCATGTGGAACTTCTCTGTCTCCCCAAAGCACAGTGACCCTTTTGGCATTTGGATCTTCAGCCAGAAACATGTCAGCCCTTGCAACTAATGAACTCCTGTTCATCCTTCATGACTCGGCTGAACAGTTGCTTGCTGAGGGCTTGCCTTGGTTCTTGCCAGGTGTGCCCCCCTCCTCAGTACCCTCTCTCTCCCATGTCATTTCCATGCCGTTCATCATATTTCCTGCATTTCTTTGAGGTCTCTCTCACTAAAGCTGCCCTTCCCCTTTCTGTATCCTTTGTCTCCAGCAGATACTGTAGGTTGCTTCAAGAATGCTGCCTAATTATGTGTTTTTTCATTTGATGACATTAATATTAATTAATTGAACTTGGGAATTCATCATTTGCTAACTTTACGGAATACCTGCTGCATGCAATGGAGATATAATGGTATTCAAGAAAGTGGCCTCCCCTCCTGAACCTACATCCTAACAGGGGAGGCAAGAAAACAAGTTTTAAAAAGATAGTTAAGTGGAAGGTATTTGGTACAGCAACTAAGTCTACATCCCATATGAGTTGAGTGCTGCTGCTTCACTTCCAATCCAGCTTCGTGCTAATATACACCCTGGAAGGCAGCAGTTGATAACTCAAACACATGGGTCCCTGCCACAGCATAGGAGACCCAGACTGAGTTCCTGGCTGCTGGCTTCAGTCTGATCCAACAGTATATATTGCAGGCATTTGGGAGAGGAAATCAGTGTGTGTGTTCACCTTTTAAAGAAAATGAAAACAAATCAATACGTTTTTTAGATAATTATAAACTGTGGTAACTAAAAATAAGCAAGAGTGGTGTGACTTAAAGAATAGCAGGGGTAGGGAGGAGCCTGTTTCCAATGCAGTAGTACATAGAGAAAGTCTCTCAGCATGGTCATTAAGCTGGAGCGCAACAGTACGGGCATCATTTTAGTGGATGATAGAAAGTCCTGAAGCAGAAAGTAGGGTATTATGCTTCAAGAACTGAGAGAAAGCTGGTGTGGCCAGAGGAAAGGGAGTGAGCGCAGTGTGGCACAGAAGGAACCTGGAGAGCTAAAAGATGAACCACTTTACACTGAAGAAGTTCACTCACAGATTGGGTGGGAATTGAAGACACCTGCATAACCACTTCCTGCTGGGATCCTTGGTCTCTTTAGAGGACTTTATGCATCAGCCAGGGACATGCAAACACACACTGAGCTGTCATCATCATGCTGGAATGTGGCACCCTGGCATTTAACACCTGCTGTCCCCTCAAGGAGGAAGCTTCCTCCCTGCCCCTCCTTTCAGCTCAGGATTGCATCTGGGTTTCAGTGTTTCTTCCTGTGGCAAGATGGGGTCTGGGTTCCAGTCACTCACTGCCTGTGCTGTTTGTCTCTTCCTGCTGAACCACTGCCAATGGGTTCGCTCTCTGTCTCCAGCAGACACTGGTGCCCCTGGGATGCAGTGTTGGTTTTTCCTTACCACTGGAGTCTCCTTTGTGATTCCACCTCTGCTGCTTTTCATACTATTCCATTATTAGGGCTGCTTTGATCT